AGGAGTGAGGTTATCAGTTTGCCTCCAGTTCTCAGAGTTCTCTGAATCCTAGCTCAATTCCAGGAGCTCAGAGATGAATAGGAACGAGTCATGCAACCGGTAACAAAACCTTATCTCATGAATGACGCTCATGGCCTTGGGAAGAGAGGGGTACATTTAAAACAGGGTCGATGGTAGGTGACACTGTAGCAAAGCCCAGGAAAAGGGAGAAATGCCAGGGAACACACAAAGTACTTACACCCTCCATCAGAAACCTTTAAAGTTGCCCTTAGGCTATCTCAAGCGCTACAATTAGGTACTCACAGGTGGATTCCTTTGGAGTCCCCCCCCCCCCCGCCTCCCACAACGACATGAGCGCACCCATGGCCCTTGGCTAGTCATCTCCCAGTTCTCACTGCGCGGCGAAAGAGTAATTGATATTGGTATACTTCACCATGAATCTTCTTCAACCCGTTTTTCACTCACGCACAAATCTTCATAGTCGTATTAAAAGTTAGCGCTTTACGACGAGAAAAGGTGCCAAAGTAGAGCGAAGAGTTGCCTATGCGCAGTAAGAGCGACACAAAAAAACGATGGACTTCTAGAGGCTGATTAAACGTTTTCCATTCACTTGGAAGCTTTTTTTTTTCAAAAATCACACACCTTTCTCCGCGCGTTCGGTAATATGCCAGACCCAGTCCTAACCATGAGTCCTCCGTCAGAATGAGCAATGGTTAGGGCTGGGTCTGACACATTCGAATGTTTGCAGGAAAAGATGGAGGTATACATGCACATACAATGTAAATGGTGGTATGCTAATGATTAGCTAATGAGAAAAATAAGTAAGTAGCACCTCGTAATGCACCACACACAATGAATAGAGGATCTCCCGAGTTTGGTAAGAAAGTAATGAGAATCCTCATTTCGACCCTTTTCAACCTTTCGATCGATCTTTTTTGAAATGCTCCACAGCAACTCAACTAGCATATGAATAGAGTTGCGATGGTATTTCAATGTGCTTCGGTCTATGCATGGAACGTTTTTGGGAGCCAGCCGATGTACATGTCAGTCAAAAATCTGCTACCAATGAACCAACCCAGATAGATGCGAAAATTGGTTGCTGCGAGGGGACGGGTGGTAAGCTGTGTCGTGTGCTGCTCAGCAATTTATGGTGAGCTCGAAATTGAAGCAAGGAAGAAGTGTGGGAAAATTCCTCTTTCCCAGCACCATTGAAGTGGAGCCTGTGGAAGCCTGAGGGCTTCTAGACTGCGTGAGAAAGTGAAGAATAGATATGCAAGACTGCTCACAAATCTTAATCGCGATTGCAATAATCACTTTTTAGAGCCGCGATGTCCGCATACTCGTCGTCGACATTGCCGAAGATTTAGCGCCATATGTGCTCTGTGAAGCGTTTCATCGCCAAATGTATGGCGAGAGCTACCTATGGATTCTGCCTGGATACCACTCGACCGCGTATGTTTATTCATTTATTTGTTTATTCCGTACGCCCAAAGGCGTGCCACAAGCGGTAAGAAAAGTGGAGAAACTGTGCTGATAGTATAAGCAAGTTCAAGAAAGAAAAAAAAACGAACGAAAAGCAGGAAAGGGGTGATTGGACGAGCAAGAATCGAACCATTTAGCAACGATTGACAACATGGAAGGGAATAGAAAACAGTTATACGAGAAGTTAATGAACTTACAAAAGCGAATAAATAACACAACTGAACAACAAATCTCAAGAAGAATGAGGAGAATATGTATGCCAAGCAGTTCATATCGCTAGTAAGTGTGAGGGTAGCCACTAAATAGGATATATCATACTATCGAAGTAGCAACGGGCGTATGTTAGCACTTCACATGGTTTTCGGTCATCCTCAAGTCGTGAAGAAACTTGTCTTGAGGGAGAACGATGACCATCGCCTATTGGCTGATGTTTGCTGTATGTTTTAAGCATTTCAATCGAAACTCAGACGAAAACGCATGTACTCTCTTCAAAGGCGATCTTAATGGCTAAAAGACGAACTGATTGTGGCGCTAACTGGTAGTGGGACGCTAAAAGAGCTTTAGGTCACCTCCTTCCGTCTCTTCTTCATTGCCCTTATGATTAGTTGCGTGGCCCGGTGCCGTTCCACCAATGAGCGTTGTCAGAACTGCTTTTTAGCACACACGGAATTGGCCTTCAACAGAAATTGGAAGGAAGGTATAAGTTCTTTGGGGCATTTGTACATAGGGCGGAAGTGGTGTAGTGACAAGTGGCGCGCTTACCACGCGAGCGGTCCGGGATCAAATCCTGGGTCGTGAGTCGCCCGGGCCAACCAAGCCTTCCATCCCTCCGGGGTCGGTTAATTGGTACCAGACTTGTCTGGGAGGATAAAAAACACTGACTTGTACATCGGCTGGCCCCCGCAAGTCATTGTATAGGCCACATCGCATTCAAAAGCCACTACGAATGTATTAATTAGGTTGTCTCATAAGTAGTGTCGCTTTTTTTAAACCAAAAAAATTTCACCTGAATCCTGATGCTTTTACATCGTGTTATATACCATTCGAAAGAGAATTATCTGCTCTACAAGATGTTATGTTTCCCTTTTACCTATGTTCCACAGTTTTGAATTTTTAGGCCTGCGGAATGGGAGGTCCAGCCGACAAAAATTGACCAAACCGACAACTATCTCTAACTTTATCTTCCCTTGGGAGAAATCAATCAATGATGTACCCTCTACTTACACATGACCTCTTCTGAACATTACACTATTAGGTTTCCCAACAAGTCGCGTCGTCCATTTCCAGACCTGGTTTTTCAACCAGAACTCGACGGTCGAGCACCATTACCTGAGATCTAGGTCGAAATTTTTTTATAGCCGAGACATTGAAAAACTAGTAGAATTTAAAGAAGAACAAGTCATGACTAAGTTAGGAATGTACGCCTGGTTGATTTTCTCATCTTCTCAGGGATAATTTTTTTCAAAGAAATGCGGTCACTTTCGTGGATAAAACACCTTATCCTAAACACCTAAAATTCGAACTAATTCCCAACAAACATAAAAACAAAACAAATGAGCGAATAGAGCAGAAGAAGTGCTCACAAAAGGAACACCACTTGATATGAAACAATGCGTTTACGAGGAACAATTTTAATTTGAAAAATTGCTATGGCTTATCGGTCAGCCAATTCGAAAAGAAACACGGCAAAGCTTTTTCGGCAACCTAAGAGTGGAATGTTTAGAAGAGGTCATGAGTAAGTAGAGGTACATCATTGATTGATTTCTCCCCAGGGAAAATAAAGTTAGAGCTAGTTGTCGGTTTGGTCAATTTTTGTCGGCGGGACCTCCCATTTCGCAGGCCTAAAATTTGAAAACCCTGGAACAGAGGTGGAAGAGGAACATAGCATCTTGTAGAGCAGACGATTCTCTTTCGAATGGTATATAATGGTGTGAAAGCATGGGATTTAGATGAAAATTTTTGGTTGAAAAAAAGCGACACTACTTTATGAGACAACCTAATACAAATGGAAGTAGAATGCGTGCCGCATCCCAAAAAGGGATTGATCAACGGCAAATGCTTTATCCTTTATCCTTTATTTGTACATTTGCTTATCTCAGCAAATCTGTCGCATTTTATGAAATCACTTGCACATCAACACGCATATCGATTTCATTGTAACCTTTTGAAGACTACACTTTACCTTTTGAAATAGCATCTCAGGAGGCGTGGCTTTTGAGTGGGTGGAGTTCGCGAGGCAAGAGAGCCATTTTGTTCTGCATCTTTATAATATTTGAGCGAGGTGAAAGGTCGCATCCTTAACAATTGACGCAGGCACAGGGACGATCTTACGAGCGCGCCGTTCACACCCCACAATGTAAATGGTTGGATTAGTAACTCTGGGGAAAGCATCACTGGTACAAAAACCATTTCGGTAATATTCAATGCGTAGGAGAGAGGATGTAGTGACAAAATCCCTATCAAAAGGCTTTGTATTTACTTTCACAACCTTTTCTGACTGATATGTTAATTGAGAATAAGAAGAAAACGAGGAATGAACTGAGCTGCCAATTCCGCGCGTGCTTTAAAAACTTCTGCTAAACTGAAGCATATTGATCATACCGTGACCCATGTCGTTTACAGTTATGTTATGTTGTAATCCATAGAATAGAGGCAAGCAAATTGGGAAGAATCCCCGCATACGCTAGAAAAAGGGATGACAAGGGTGAGACGCGCAACCGCGTCTCAATGTCGTCAATGTGTAATAGCGTGAACATATTTTCAGATTCATTGCAATCGTCTTTCTTTTTTGTTGTAAAACTTTTAATGTCGATAATGCGATTGATTAATGCTGTGCTTGATTAGTTGATTTTAATTGAATCAGTCATATGAAGTAGATATTGTAAAGTACCACGACAATAAGCTTTTCAGATGGATGGGTGTTGGTGCTGCAAATTGCACAACCGAAGACATGAATCTGGTGCTGGAAGGTCACTTTGCGGTAGAGTTCGCGTTGGTCAGAAAGGACAATCGCACTCACGTCATAGGCGGGAAGGTGAGCTCATTGACGACGCCCTCATAGTTAACATTTTGGGAAAACAGGAGAATAGACAAATTAAAAAAGAATTGATTGGAAGAACAGGTGTGGACCAGAGGTTTAATATATAGGAAGGTTCAGGTGAGAGAATTAGGTAACTATAGATTGAAGGAACGCGAATTAGAAAAGAAGACCGCTGTTCCCTGTTTTCCGATTATCCCAAAACGTTACGGCTCTTAAGTGAGATCCAAACCCGAACTATTAAGAAAACATTTTGTTCTCCTTACTTTTCGAGTGTTCGCACGGAGCAGGTGTTTGCTGTTTAACAATTTCTATAAATTCAATTCTCCTTGATCGTTCGATTTCAGCGAGCGAACTACATCTGGGCAGAACTCGGTCGAGAATCTCCGAATATTTTTCAAGGCTACCTTTACGACGGTCTCTGGACCCTGGCGATAGCACTCAGCCAAGCACTCGGTGCAAACGCTTCTTTTTCCCACATGAAGTTGCTATCTGCCATTAATAACAGCTCATTCGAAGGTGTCACGGTTGGTAGATATTGTATTGGTTATGGCTGCCCCGCGAATATTTCATTCTTCTGAACTGTTCATTTTGAAGGGACGAGTACGCTTTGAGAACAACGAACGACTGGGTCTCGTCGACATTCGCCAGTGGAAAAATGGCGCTTATGACGATGTCGGCTACTATGACGGAGCAAGTGACGTGTTCAGCATGAAAACTGATCTAGGAGGTGGGTTGGAATCATTTAAAAGAAGAAGACGTCCATTTCTTTCAGATAATTAGAATGCTCATTGTTGTAAAAGTAATGTTAAGTGACACACGGGACCTATCTTTTCACTTTATCAATTATTTTTATTTCTATTTTTATACGTCATGAAACACTACACGATCCTTCTTGAGCGAAAGTGTTCAATCGACAAAGAGCGTCGTTCATCACGCGTGTTAGAGGTGAAACGTTTACCGGCTCGCGCTCAGGACCACCAGACCTTCCTATCTTCCGAAGTCCGATTAGTTGGTAGCACTTACTTGTGCACTGTTGGGTTCCGCCAAGACAATGTAAAGTTCAAATGCAAAAAAAAACACCA